ATATTGCTCAAAATATTTACTTGGGTGACAGATAGAGCTCTAATAACATTATTTTTAACTAAAATAATAGAAAATAATTAACATCGATAAAAGCAGCTTCTTTTATTTATTAAAAGTAAAAAATAAATAAAATCGATTTTTCTTGATTTTTTTCTTTTTTTGATGCGCGGTAGAGCCCTGAAGATATTTTTATTTTCTACTGAAATTTTAGCAGCAAGTATACTATAGGTAGGGTCAACTTTTCGCAGGTATTATATGTCAAAAAAAAATATCGATTTTTTCGCTCCACCCTAGTGTATACTCATGGCCAGCACGCAGTCCCAAACTAAATCCCCTAGACTTTTACTTGTGGAGTTACCTATAAATGGCTTTGTTTAGAAAAAATAATAAATAATCGTCAATTATTATGGTAAAATATTATAGAGGGAGTTAACGTAATTATGGCCCAAAGAAACTCATTATTTAAAATAAGATAAAACTTACATAAAAGATTGTGATTATGTATTTATATATTCGTTTTGAATTATTCACTTTGTCAATTATTTTATATTCATTTCATTGTTTAATTTAAGTTAATTTATGATTTTTTTAAAATATTTTACTGTGTAAAAGGTTTAATAAAGATAATTGTTTCAATTATATGCATTTTATTTGCAAAAATATCTACTACTAATACATTTAATATTCACTTAAGAGCTTTTAAATAATGTTTAAATTTACAAGTTTTTGTAATTTTTTTTTTCATTTTATGCACGTCTCTAAAAAATACGTTTATTTCGAAAACGGTGTACTTTTTCAATTTGAAACATAAATACTTTTTTTGTGTATAATTGAATTTTATTTCATGTTTTTTTCACAGAATGTTTATACAAGGCGGACAAAAAAATTATGTCCACATTAATGAACCAATGTGAAAGTAGGTGGCGCCACCTAGTGTCAATAGTAAAACTAGGGTTGAATTTTCCGAAAATACAAGCTGAATATAGCCGCAAATGTCAAAAATATTTCGGTTTGGCAGTGTTGGCATGTTTTTATAATGCATATTTGTATGCTTCAAATATAAAGATATAAAGCTTTTAAAAAGTACATTTTGATTATACTATTTTATGAATTCCGCAATTTTTAATTTATATGAAGCAATAACGGGTAAATATTTGTCTCTTTCGAGATTAATTGCAAACATCTGGCAACTGCTGATTTGACGATTGCCAAATCTATCCCTAATCTATCAAAGGGTAATTGCTAAAAAAATTTCTAATAATTAACTGCAATTAATCTCCAAAGAAACAAATATTTACTCATTCTTGTTTTATATAAATCAAAAATTGCAGAATTCATAACATAATATAAACAAAATGTACTTTTCTAAAGCTTTATCTTTTTATATTTGAAGCATACAGCATCTACATTATAAAAACATGCCAACACTGCTATACCGAAATTTTTTGTTCCATGTTTGACATTTGCGGCTATAATCAGCTTGTATTTTCGGTAAACTCAACCAAAACTAGTATTATTTTCATATTAAGCATACTTAATAATAACAAGATACCAAATTTCACTTAAATCAGTTGAATAGTTTTTAATATATCCTTTAAAAATAATATCCGAGCTTCTTAAGAGGGGTAAAATTCCGGGATATAGCATGATTGGAGCCACTTACAGCAATGTTTATGTCACTGCAACTTACGTGCATAACAGTATACAAAATTCTAAGATGACGGACTGCAGCTGCGAAAATAATGTAATAATAAATAATAACACAAGCAAACTCTAAATGACACAGCTATCAAACATAACAACAACCCCAAATATCTAGGCGTCACACTTGATAGAACACTCACCTTCAAAAGTCATCTTACAAACGCAGCCGGTAAACTAAGAACAAGAAATAACTTAATATCAAAACTTGCTGGAACAACTTGGGGTGCTTCTGCAGATACTCTTCGGACCTCTGCTCTAGCTTTGGTTTTTTAAGTGGCAGAATATTGTGCACCAGTATGGATAAATAGTGCAGATACAAGCAAAATCGATGTCCAACTTAACCAAACCATGAGAATATTCACTGGAACAATAAAACCAACGCCAGTGAGATGGCTGCCTACTCTGAGCAATATCTGCTCTACCAGATCTACGCCGTATAGCAGCATTAGTGAGAGAGTACCAGAAAATTGTAGCCAACGTACAATTACCAATACATCAAGATATCCCAGACATCTCAAAAGAGCACCAGTGACTGAGATCTAGAGATCCTTAAATACGATCTGCCCGAAAAATTGGTTATTCCTATGATATACATAGGCAATGAACAACAAGATGGATGCCAACAGTAGAATCGGACTATATTAAGATATCCACCCCAACTCAGGGTTTCATCGGATCAAATCTGTCCCGGTCCACTTGGGCAAGGCTTAATCGTATACGTACCGGACATGGTAAATGTGCTGATTCGCTGTTCAGGTGGGGTCGTGCAGAAAGTCCACAGTGCAATTGCGGACAATCTAGACAGACCATAAGCCATTGTGTTTCAGACTGCTCGAATCGTGCCTACCGTGAAAACCTCCAGGACTTTGCGGAATGTTCCCCAGAAGCAATTGAATGGCTATGTAAATTTGACATTGATATTTAGTGTTATTCATTCTGTCTTTAGTGTTTGAATAATATATTTAATATATATGTATATATTATTCTATTTGTATATTTATCGTACTGTGAAAGTCCGTACACTAAATAACAAGAATAAAAATAATATTAAAAAAATATTAATGAATCACCCTGAAGAACGAAAACTAGCAATATTTTGCCCAAACAATTTGAGCTAAAACGCTTTATTTTGATGAAAGCTGTCACCCATTAGCTAATGTCCAATTAATTGTGGAACACCCTGTATAGTACAAGTAAAATTCTACAAAAATGTTTTCTCACTCTTCAATCTTTCAAAAAATCTTTGCAAAAATTTATTGATTGAGTACAATTAATTGTAATGACTATTTCACTCATCTTAAAATTTTCACATAATCTGACCAATCACAAACCAAAGACAGCTTGTGTTATCGCGAAAACACCAACTGTCTTTCAATTCTGATTGGTCTATCAGCTTCGTGTTTTCAACGACGTAACCATGGATACCGATCGCAAAGCAAAGTTTGACGTTTGCCAAAAAAATTATTGTAGCTGTATACGTCAAAATGAGTCGTTTCGGTGGTACTTCAAACGAAGTTATAAACCAAAACATTGAAGAAAATATACCGAGTAACACAAGAAAATCTAAATCTTATATATGGAGACAATTTATGATGTTCTGTGTGGATCGCAACTACAAATTAGATGCAGAAAATATCAACGAAAGACTAGCATTCATTCTAAAAGACTGGGCCTTCAACATGCGAAAAATTGATGGTAGTGATTACAAGGAGAGTGTTATTAAAACCATATGGAACACTACTGCAAAATTGGTACAAGAAAAATATTTCTGTGAGTATCAGAGACATATTGATCCCTTCAAAGATATAACCTTCAAGGAAGCAAGAGCGGCTCGTGATAGTAAGAGAAAATTGTTGCAAACTGTACCCGATAAAAGGAAAATGAGTTCTGTCGCTATGACTTCGGATGAATATAAAAATATGTGCTTACAATGGGACGAAGACACGCCAGAGAGACTCCAAAAGAAGTTTTTTCATATAGCTGCCGTAGAATTAACTTGGAGAGGTAACGAAGCAAGTTTTTCCATGTTACATTTTTTCAAGGAAGAGACTAACAACAAAGGCTGTTTAACAAACAGAATTGCATATAACCCGATATTCTCCAAAACCCGCCAAGGTGGTGATAAAAACTGTGCAGATAATAAATGGCTTACTCAAAATTTGAAGAATCTTGAAATGTGTCCTGTGAGATTATACCGGAAACTTATATCGAAAAGGGAAACTATTACCAATGATAGACTTTTTGTGACTGTGAATGGCAAGTGGAATAAATATAATAATAGTAATTGGTACAAGAATTGTCCTATTGGTATTAATACAATATCTAAATGGACAAAAATGTCTGCAGAAAAGATAGGATTAGACACTAAAAAAGTAAAAATAACTAATCACTCTAATCGTGCCACTGCAGTTAGTCAGTTACTACAATCTGGCGTTAGTGAACAACAAGCTATGAAAATTACTGGACATGGAAGTTCGAACTCGATGAAACCGTATTTACATCTTAGTGCCGAACATCATCAGAACATAGTGAATACTTTTAGGAATACTCCAAGTACATCAAGTAATAATAGCAGCAATACATTGTATCCACCTAATAACGGTCATACTATTCAAAATTTTTACAATTGCACCGTTTATAATAATTATAGTCGAGAATAATGTATTTTTTTTCCTGTACAAATTATTTATTGTTATAGGTAAAAAATAATTATAACAAATTATTTATAGTTATAATAAGTATTTCATGATTATGACTATTTGTGAATTATTCAAAAAATGGGTAGATTTGGGCTACCTAGATCAAATGTACTATTATTAAATTCCTTCCTCTCATTCTACTGAATTTTTGACCTATCACTTTGTTCATGAAATAGTCTAATAAAATACCACTCGCGATTTAATTTAGCTTTTAAGTCTGTTTTTTATTGCTAAACTCAACTGAGTTTTTTAAAGAAAACACCACGAGTCCTACGGACTCGTGGTGTTTTCAAGCAACTCAGTTTCGGTTAGAAGTAAATCGACAGGCTTATCGCGAAAATTGAATTACTAGTTGTATTACTATTGAAAATTACATTTTATAACTACTGTTTCACGTTTCGATGTACATTCATAAAATGTTTTTAAAACAGATTATGTTGAAAAACAGTGAGGTGTTATTATAACCGAAACTTGTTTAGGGTTATCGACCGAATAAGACTATAATATCTACCCAATAGTCAAAAAAATAATAATACCAAAAATTCATATTAAAATACGCCTTATGGTCTATTATTATAATCTAAAATTATTCTAGTTCTATACCCTACAAAACGTTAGTAAAATAAAAAAAATCAGCTGATAATTTAGCTCAATTTTTAAATATCTTGTAATTGGAGGCACATGCAGAAATTAATTTTTTCTATTAAAAAACTAGTTTAATACTTACACTGAAAAATGATAGATAAAACAAAACCACCCTCCGGGATGTTCCAGAAACAAATAAGTTCGTTCCTGAACCGTTTTGCCCCTTTTAAAATGGAACAGATACTTCGTTTTAAACTCCTGATCAATAGGTAAGTAGATAGGGTAATACGGGTCAGGCACACCCCTAGGGATATTTAACGGCGGATCGACTATATCGTCCACTTCATCCACCTCTTCATCTTCTTCCTGTTCAGCAAGAATCTTTTCCAGTTTTTCTTTCTTCCTCGATCTTTTGATTGGAGTTGGCACCCGCCGCTGATTGGGTTCGTCATGACGTGGTGGGGGTGGGTCGCGTAGGTGGTGCAGAAAGGGAAGATTTTCCGAATATTCTTCGTCTTCGCTTGTGTGTGGCTTACACCTTTAACATTTACAAAAAAACTAATATTAATAAAAATGTAAATACAACTAATATTGATTTGCTCTTTAATACTTAAGATGGTCCGAAAAATGGATGTGTGAATTTTTTGCAACAATTTTTACTTAATTTATTGTGAAAAAATTTAAATAAAAATCATAATAGGCGATAATAAAGACTAGTTAAAATTATCCGTTATTTTTAAATCAAGAGAACGTTGTGTAACATAATGGGGGATATTCTTATGATATTCATCATCATCATCATCATCATTAGCCATTTTGCGTCCACTGCTGAACATAGGCCTCCCGTAAATAATTCCATTGCATCCGATCTTGAGCAACTTGAATCCAGTTAGACTGGATGCGCTTTAAATCGTCCGACCACCTTATTGGAGGACGTCCTCGACTACGATAAGCATCGTGTCTAGGCCTCCACTCTAAAATTTTCTTTGTCCATCTTCCATCTCTGACCCTAGCAACATGTCCTGCCCAGTTCCATTTCAGGGTTGTAATTCTTTCAACTGCGTCCGTCACACCAGTTTTTCTCCTTACTATCTGACTCGAAACTCTGTCCCTGAGTGATACGCCCAACATTGACCTCTCCATCGCTCTCTGTGCCACTTGTATCTTATTAATTACTTTTCTGGTAAGTGTCAATGTTTCTGCTCCATATGTCAGAACTGGAAGTACACACTGATCAAAAACTTTTCTCTTCAAGCACATGGGAATAGCTGATTTAAAGACTTCCCTCAGTTTTCCGTAAGCTGCCCATGCCAGTCCTATTCTCCTTTTTAACTCTGTTGTTTGATTGTCTCTTCCCAATTTAATCTCGTGGCCCAGATACTTATAGGAATACACTTGTTCAATTTGCGTGCCATTAGTGGAAATGTTTTTTGCCAGTACCAGGTTGGTCATGTATTGTGTTTTGGAAAAATTAATTTTAAGGCCAACTCGTGCACAAGAGCTCTGAAGGTCTTGAAGAAGTTGGCATGCATGATCTACCTGATCTGCAATAAGGACTATGTCGTCTGCAAACCTCAAGTTGTTCAAAAATTCCCCATTTATATTTAATCCAATATTTTCCCAATTATTTTTTCTCATAGCACTCTGTAATAGGGCGGTGAATAGTTTAGGAGAGATAGTGTCTCCTTGCCTAATACCTTTCTCCAAGGGAAATGTGTCTGTGTCACCATAGTACATTTTTACAGCAGCTGTTGCGCTATCATATATATTTCGAAGAAGAGTTGTGTACCTATGGTCAATACTGCACTCTGTAAGAGCTCTTAACATGGAGCTATGCTGGACTGAGTCAAATGCTTTCTCAAAGTCTACAAATATTAATATCAATGGCTTGTTATATTCTATAACTTTCTCTATCAAGGATTTTATTACTTGTAGGTGGTCATTTGTTCCAAAGCCACTCCTAAATCCGGCCTGCTCTAGAGGTTGATGAAAATCTAGCTTAGGTCCCAGTCTGTTAGTAATTATTCTCATAAAGAGTTTATATAAATGAGATAATAAGTTGATAGGTCTGTAGTTGCCAATTTCTGTTACATCTCCTTTTTTATGCAATATTATCATAATGGCATTATTCCATTTTTCTGGCGTATTTCCTTCAAAGAGGCAGGCATTATAAAGGGTTTTTAAAGCCTTTATGACGCATTCGCCTCCTAGTTTTATCATTTCACTTACAATGCCATCTTCTCCAGGTGTTTTGTTGTTCTTCATACCTTTTAATGCTGACTTAATTTCCTCTTCGGTTATATCTGGAAGTTCCTCTGACCCTTGATTTAGTATTGCTGGAATTTCTACTTCGGGAATGTGATCATCTCGACTATATAATGTTCTATAGTACTCTTCGATGATTTTTAGTATCTCTTGTTGTTCATGTATGACATGTCCTTGATTATTTTTTAACTTATAAATATTCCTCGTTCCTATTTTCAACTTTCGTTTTAGAACTTTTAGGCTTTTGTTTTGTTCTACGGTATCAGTTATTTCCTTAGTGCTAAAGTTCCTTATGTCTTTCCTAATGGCTTTTGAAATGGTTTTGTTTAAATTCCTTAGCTCTACAATGTTCGTTGTATGCTTTTCTTTCATTTCCCTTCTTTTTTGCATTAGGTTTCTTGTGTCTTCTGTGAGTTTTTCATTTTTTGTTGAGTGCTTGGCTTGGCACTTCTTCTGTGACTTCTTCAGGGCTTCTACCAATTTTTCGTTAAGCTGTTCAATACTGGTTTCATCTTGCAGGTCTTTCTGTAGATTACTCTCTATTTCTTCCTGGTATGCCAGGAAGAAATAGAGTCTTATGATATTATTTAATTGTAAATACTTATTAGTTACTCTTTAATTATCGTTAAAGAAATGTACTACTTGTATTGTCTACGAATACATAGTTGTCCTGTTAATGTCATAAAATTTTACAAAATTATGGAAATAGGAATGGAAAAAATATGCAAATCAGATTTGTGTCAGTATTTTTTTTTTTAATAGTTAACACGTATTTTTAAATTTTATCTTTTATATTGTATCAATTCATTATGTATTATATAAAACAATATGCCATCTATATTTTTGGTTAATATTTTATAATAATTTTATAACGATTCCCAAAACTGGATAATACCATATGATTTTACTCGGAGTTTGTACTCCAGCTTTATTTATTTTTGGTTTTAGAAGAGGATTTTCGTAATCGGTAGCATTAGATAGGATGTATGCTGATATCATGGGCAGAGCATGTAACAAACAACGAAGTCACGAGAAGAGTCAACAAAAGAATAGAAATATTGGAAACTTTCAAGACACGGCATGATATACGTAATGAAAGATACAACATACTTTAATTAATTATTTAAGGAAAAATCCAGGGGAAAAGAAGTGTGGGAAGGAGAAAAGTCTCATGGTTGGGTAACTTGTGGGAAGGGTACGAATGCACATCAATCAAACTATTCAGAGAGGCAGCATCTAAGATCAAAACAGCTATGATGATTGCCAATGTCCGTCGCGTAGATGGGACGTAAATAAAAAGAATGCTGATAATTATATGTCAAATTAAGTGAATAAAAATCCTCTACAACTCTTACTTAAGGTACCGATTGTTTCAAATCTAGGGTAACTTCTTCATTTTTAATAAACAAAATTTTATTTTGAATATTTATGATAAATTTGTTCTGCGTCTATGCCAAGAATGCTTGCATCTTTTAATGTCTGCTAAAAAAAATAGGAATTTTATCAGGGTGTTAACAATCTGTATGGTAGACGTTATCTTTCCATGAATTGGCATAATGTGACCTAATGATCTTTCAAGAACTAGGTTTATTTTAGTTGACTGTAGTTTTTCATCCAAAAATCCGGTTCGAATTAAGGATCTAGATGCACCGACATCAATAATAAAGGTGAATGTTTGTTTGTCAACATAGTCCTTAAGTAATAAATTCTGTTCACTTTTATTTAAAGTATAAGGGTTTAAGGACTTTTATTAAATACATCCGACGTCCCTACTGACTTCTTGTATTTGTTTTCCTTAGTATTGTTTGGATATCTGTGGTCAGTTATGCAAGATCGATTTCTTAGAGACCTATGTCTAGTAGGACCATGTCACGAGATTCTAGATGTCGATCTAGGCGACCTTCTCACGTTAGTGTTGTAAAAACAACATTTTATATTAATTTTAGTGTAATTTTGAGTTCTCACAAATATTAGTTTGGATTTTATGCTACAGACTGTACTTTTCCCTGCAGAATATTTGTGTCATAAATAGCTTATAAGGGTTGTTTGAGTGGTAAAACCGACGCCGCCTTGTCGGCACTTTTAGGTAAAGATTCAATCCAAAATCTCTCGCAGATGTGACTAGAGTCTCAAACTGTGCAGTACCAGCCGGTACCTAGCGACTAATCTCTCTCTTCGCCGCCAAAATGCAGTGAAACGTGTATTTGTTTTTCTCGATAGTTTCGCGCGCCCGTAAAACGCCGATATAATAATGGACAATGTTTTAAAGCGAACTCTTTCGTTAGTATTAGTGCTTGTGTAAATATTCTCTTGTTATTAAATGTGTAGATTCAATTAATTACGCTTATTTTTTCTCTAAGTACAACCCCTATTAAACCAAACACATAAAGAACCAGCGCCGTGAAGTCTGCTTGTATATATCGAAGGAAACACTCTTGTACAGTCCATGGTCCTAAAATATTTGGTACTGTACACGCACGGGGAAAGGAATTTAATAAGCTTTCCCCACAACAATTGGTGGAAATCTGAGAAAATTCCATCAGTTAGTCTATGATTCTTCTTTTCTTGCTTGGGGTCGGTTTCGGCAATGTTCTTCCTAATATTCCAATATGTTACAGTTAATAAAAGATATTGTATTTTCATTTGTTGTTAAAGTTTTTGCAGCTTAAAATTACCTCTGACTAAAAATTTTTGTGAATTTGCGATATACCATTAATGAATTCTACCTCTACTTTCCTACATCTCTCTTCCTCTTTTTGTTTACGCATCTCCTTCATATTTTCCTCGACTTACCTACGCTTCTCCTTACCTCCCTTCACTTCTCCTTTTCTCTTTCGTTTCTTGCCTACACTTTAGTGTTCTTTCTCTTCCTCTTTTATTATTACAACCCTTTCAAGGGGTCTGAAGTATCCATTTCTTTATCAAATTCAGTAGATTTTACATTAACCATAAACAATTACTTAATTTATTAATAATAATATTAAGAATTATAAAGAATAAAGATAATTATTTATCTTTTATCTTTTTGCTGTCACCAATGTAACAATTTTGGCATCTTCGCCATGGTATCTTGAATATTCTAGAATTTGAATACTGTTTCTTTTTCGTCCGCGAACTTTTTGTATGTGGTATAAATCTTACAAAACTTTAGTAACAATGCATTAGAATAGGTTTACACCAATTTTATATTAATAATGTAAACATTTTTCAATATATTATTTATTTGTCTTGTATTTTTTTTATTATTTTTCTTCTGCTTAGCCCTCTGTTGTCCATTTTTGGTCATAGGCCTCTCCCAACTCATTCCATCGATCTCTATCCTAAGCAACAAGAACAGACAAAACTCTTTAAACAAAATTCTTTAAACAATTTATAGAGGAGAATAAAATATGAATGAGAATAAATATGTATGATTATAAATCTTCTTATGCTTCTTTTTCGTATGTTAGGCGTTAAAGCCTGTTTTTCCGGTCTTTTAGCTTCTAGTTTTCTATCTCTTACTATTTAAGCAAGACTTTCTCTTCATTCTATTCATGTGTTAATTTCATTCCTGTCTTCTTTGGCTCTCCTGCAAAGGTCCATATTCTTCGCCCTCCAGAACAGGTTAATATCGGCCTTACCTTAATCTTATAAATTCGTGTTTTTCCTTCTATTTTTATGTTCTTATTTAACCATATCACGTCTCGTAGGCATCCCGAAACGTACGCTGCTTTATTAGCTTGAAACATCTCTGAAGGAACCCACTCCTTCAGAGATGTTTCCATAATACGATATTTGCGTTATTTCTTCGTTTATTTAAATTTTGCATCTTACTGGCACCCTAGCACCAACGAAGGACTTTGTTTTTAGGGCTGATATTTTCAGGTTGAACTTTTCTGGGTTAGCTTCCAAGAGTGGACCATTCGTTTTAGGTCAGCTTTAGGCTCTCTTCTTAATTCTGTCATGTTAATATTCTGATGTCGTATCCCATATGGCAAATTGGTTTTCAACAGCATCAATAAACAGTCTTCTATCCACATCCACGTTGAAATCCATCGTGCGGTCAATGTGTACTCGCTGATTGCCTAGCAGACACTGTTAAGCAGCGTTCACGTGGCGATGTAGCTTGCGTCGTCCCGGTACATGCCGTTTGCAAGTCGTTTGTTAGTAGCTTGCACGCCACGGCTCCGCTCTAGTGTGTAGTGCCCATGATACAAAGAATAACTATAGTATTCTTTGTACCATGTGTACTGCCTACTTACAACTCATGTACTGCTGAACCGCCAGCAATCGTACGCATATTGCCTACGGTAATCTATAGTTGATTCATATTCTTGGATGTTTGTAAACGTATTTTTGTATTGTGGTTTATGTGAAAAAAAATCTGTTATTTATTCTCAAGGTGTTCCGGGCGCAGAAATTAATTAATATTTCTTCATTTCTATTTATTGTCTCCTTAAAGGAACGTTGTCGTTCTAATACTTCGTTCCCTATTCTTGCCTTTAAGCCATCTATTAATATAACTTTTTCATCTATATTAATTGTATTCATCTGATCTTGTAATGTATTGTAGAATGCTTTAGTTTTTTCTTCGATCTTACTTATATCTGCAGAATATACTTATATTCTGCAGATGTAAGTATTATCAATATTAAATGTATTTTGCTATTATCCATTTTGACCGTCAATTTGTAAGTATTTTATGGTTAATATATTGTCCATCATCTACACTTTTTTTAAATTTCTCGTGGATGTATATCTCAACTCCTGAGCGTGCAGTTCTTCTTTTTCTTCGCTTTATACCAATATGTAGTTGAGATTTACAATTCCCTTACCTTTTTTTTTGGTCTCTCAAATCCCGCATATATCGATTTTGTAGGTATTTAGTTTTATAATTATTTTTTGTTCCCTGCTCGTATACACATATACTCGCTTGTTCTTTTTCGCCATTTGGTTCCGCCTTGTTTCCAAGGCTGACCCTGCCTGACTTTTATCCGGGCTTGGCGGTGGCTGTGCGCTGTGATAACTATTCTACCAAGCTACTCGATCCATCCGATTGTCATCCTAGGCAGTGTTATAAATCATAATATCTTCTTGCACAGTAAACTTAAGAGGAGATGTAAATAAAATAAAAATTTGCATATTAGTTAAGTAAATTAAAAATATTTTCTTAAAAAGTTTTAATAATATCCAATCAATATTTTTTTCATGTAATGTTTTTATATTGATTATTTGTTTAAAACGTTTTTAACATAACGAATACCTTGGCCTAGTTTTTATGGCGTGTGTAAGAGTTATCTATTTTTAGCTAATGTTAATAAAAAATGGACGACATATCCAGTAATAGGCCGTAAACAAATAAAAGGCCATTAATAAACTCATCCTTTTACTTAAATATGAAATAATACCGCTATACATCTACTTGGAAAAATAATTAACTTGTTTTAACGAAAATAAATTTAAACGTTTTTCTTCAAGAACTTGTGTTTAGTCTTCTCTTTAATTTCCTCTTTCTATTTTGATATCCTTATTGGAAATTGTTACTTTAAAATAAATTTGTTTTGACGTTTAGATATTCATTTCGGAAATCGTCTCAAACAATAAAAAACTGTAGGACCAAGTGGACCATATATTAGGTGACTATTGTTCACATTAATGATGCCAATTAAAGATACGCTGAGTAGTCACAAATTCGATGAAGCTAAGACTCCATGGATGACAGATGAGATCCGGCAACTAATGGACAAAAGAAGATCATACAAAAACAAAAATGTAAACGAATACAAAGCCACACACAAGGAGATCAGGATAAAAATACGGGCAGCTAAAGAAAATTTGTACAATGACAAATGTTTAGAAATAGAAGAACTCCAGAGAAATCATGATAGTTTTGAAGTGCACAAAAATTTTTAAGAATTAGCAGGTATAAGACGGTCCAACAATAGTAACACCCTGGTTGATACGAATGGCAAAATAATATCTGATGTCAAAGGCAAACTAAACAGATGGAGAGAATACGTCCAAGAATTGTTTGAGGATGACAGGACACAACAAGATAGCATGAACGATTGCGAGGAACATGATATAGGTCCAAATATAACTAAGGATGAAATAATACATGCAATAAATCTGACAAAATCTAATAAAACTGCGGGGCCTGACACAATTCCAACTGAAATAATTAAATTAATATCAGAAGATCAGATCAATGTATTAGTAAAATCCACAAGGAAAACAATTCCTGTAGTTGGCTGTATACCACGTATCACAAAAAAAGAGGTTAGTCTTCGTAAGTGGGTATATTTATTTAAAAACCCTTAAAAGGCTACAAAAACAACGTTTCGGACTAACAGTCCATCATCAGGTTTAAAATTGCTTAGGTTAAAATGCCTGAGCCACCAAAATACATGGGTAAAAATCCTTTAAATTACATATAGTTATAAAAGATTATACATCTTGTTGTTAAAAAACTGTGATGTTCAGTAATAAATTAAATATAACTTCAGGTAACATACATTGTAAAAATTGAGTTCCAGAGCCGGGGAGAAAACCTCTACGCACGGAGAACAGCTGGAAACTGAGGTAAGGCAAGGTTGCATACTCTCCCTCTTATTGTTCAATCTATATTCGGAAGAAATATTTAAAAAATAACTCGAAAATGTAACAATTGGAATTAAAGTCAACGGCAGACCCATCAACACCATTATGTGTAATACTACATAAAAAAGGAAACCAGTTAGAATGTGAAAACTACCGTGGAATCACGCTGTTGAATGCGGCATACAAAATAATGTCCAACGTAATGTATAAAAGACTTAGACCATACGCTGAAAAAATAGCTGGCAAATACCAATGTGGCTTCTGTAGACAGAAGTCAACAATAGACCAGATATTTGTTCTGCGACAGATCCTTGAAAAAACAAGTGAATATAACATCGACACACATCATCTCTTCATAGACTTCGAAAGCGCATATGACAATATAAACCGAGAATTCCTAACAAAAGCAATGAAAGAATTTAGTATACCAACACAGCTAATAGAATTGATAAAAGAAACACTAAAAGTAGAAAGTAAAATCCGGATACAAAACGAATTAACGGAAACAATAGATGTGAAGAAGGGACTACGCCAGGAAGACGCTCTATCATGCATATTATTCAACATCATACTTAAAAAAATAATAAGAGACACAACAGTTAATACCCGAGGAACAATAATTAATAAAAGCGTGCAAGTACTAGCATTTGCAGATGATGTTGACATAATCGCAAGATCAAGAAGAGAAATGATAGAGGCATTCACTCAAATAGAACGAGCTGCAAAAAATAGTGGTCTTAAAATCAATCAGACAAAAACAAAATATATGCCTGCAAATAAAAACGCACAAATAAGGCAGCTGCCAAATTTAACAATAGGAGAATACAACATTGAGGCGGTAAAAAACTTTACATACTTAGGATCCCTAGTTACGTCTGATAACAACGTTGCAGAGGAAGTGAAGAGGAGAATATTTATTGCCAATAAATGTTACCATGGCTTAATTAGGCAACTAAGATCAGATAACGTCTCCAGAAAAACAAAATGCCAAATATACAAAACCTTAATAAGACCGGTACTCACATACGGTTCAGAAACCTGGACACTCTCTAAAAGGGAGGAAACGTTATTAGCCACCTTTGAAAGAAAAATCTTGCGACACATATATAAGGGCACAAAAGAAAACAGGATTTGGCGGAGAAGGTATAACTTTGAACTATACAACATATACCAGGATCCGGATATCATAACATTCATTAAAATAGGAAGGCTACGTTGGATTGGACATGTGGAAAGAATGGAAGAAGGCGAAATACCAAACAAAATATTCAAACAAGTGCCAGTAGGAAAAAGAACAAGAGGAAGACCGAAGCTGAGATACGTAGAACAAATAGAAAATGATATAACAACATTAAAAATTAAAAACTGGAAAAAAAAGCACGAAACAGGTCAGAATGGAGAAGAATCCTTGAACAGGCCAAGACCCAAAAAGGGTTGTCGAGCCAGTGATGATGATAATGAGACCCATCAACAATATCAGACATGCCGATGATATTATACTAATTGCAGAAAATATACAAGATCTAGAGGAACTTTTAGATAATATAGTAAATGCTAGTGAGGAAAGCGGACTAACGCTTAATGCTAATAAAACAAAATTTATGACAATTTTCAGCACAGCAACAAGACATTTTAAACATAAGAGGAGTTCCAATAGAAAATGTAAAAAATACAGATATCTTGGTACAATTATTAATGAAAATAACGAGTATACAGAAGAAATAAAAATAAGAATTGGACAAGCTAGAGCAACCTTTAATAAGATGAAAAAAGTATTATGCAGTAGAGACCTTATTTTGCAACTCAAAATAAAAATATAACGTTCTTATGTGTTTTCGGTGCTTCTGTATGGGGTGGAAGCCTGGACCTTAAAGAAAGAGGTGAGCGATCGACATGAAGCATTCGAGATGTGGACCTACCGAAGAATATTAAAAATAAGTTGGGTAGACCGAATAACAAATGTTGAGGTCCTGAGAAAGATGACAAAGGAAATGGAAATCATGAATAGGTACGATTAAAATAAGAAAGTTACAGTATCTCGGCCACTTTATGAGAGGGGATAAATATGTGTTGCTACAAACCATAATGCAGGGAAACATACAGGGAAAACGAAGTATTGGAAGAAGACGCATCTCCTAGCTCAACAATCTGAGAAAGTGGTATAATTGCAATTTCATTGTCTTGTTCAGAGCTGCAATCTCAAAAGTGAAAGTAGCTGTGATGATTACCAACCTCCTTAGAGGAGATGTTACTTAAAGAAGAAGATTGTTCAGGAACTAATAGAAACTAATAAAGAAGAAATGGTCGAGGCGGCAGATTGGCTCAGTTGTAATAATGAATTGGTCAATAATGAACAAGTGATTTTGATTACCGCCTCGCAGACTATACGAGCATATCTAGATGTAATCAGAGGATAGTAAACAAAATGGTATTAGAGATCAGATTGACTGTATATTAATCAACATAAATCTGAGAGTATTGTTCTGATGCTATTGTCTAATGGCATCTTAATTTAATGTATCTTTTTTATTGGAAATCAGCCACAATTTTACTTTAAAATAAGTTTATGGGATGTTTCGATTATCAATTCGGAAATCGTTGCCAAAGTACAAAGCATTAATTTTGTTTTTGTGATTGTTACATGAATTGTTTAGTGTTATTGCGTGTAACTGATTGAACAACTTTTTTAATTGCACAAAA